TGCACATTGTTTCCCACCTCATAGATCTCAAAGTTGTAAGTGTATATAATTATATATAATAATATAATCATCACAGACATACAAGCACTGGATAGTGGGGACTTATTCTGCCCCAGAATCATCACAGAGACAAGCACATGGTAGTGGGGACTTACTGCCGCCAGAATCATCACAGAGAGACAAGCACAGGGTAGTGGGGACTTACTCTGCCCCAGAATCATCACAGAGAGACAAGCACAGGGTAGTGGGGACTTGCTCTGCCCTAGAATCATCACACAGGGTAGTGGGGACTTGTTCTGCCCCAGAATCATCAGAGAGAGACAAGCACAGGGTAGTGGGGACTTGTTCTGCCCTAGAATCATCAACACAGGGTAGTGGGGACTTGCTCTGCCCTAGAATCATCACACAGGGTAGTGGGGACTTACTCTGCCCTAGAATCATCACACAGGGTAGTGGGGACTTGTTCTGCCCTAGAATCATCACACAGGGTAGTGGAGACTTACTCTGCCCTAGAATCATCACACAGGGTAGTGGGGACTTGTTCTGCCCTAGAATCATCACACACTTGTTCTTCCCACAGAATCATCACCAGTCATATCAGGGTGCGGAACCTCTGCCCTAAGAATCATCATATTTCACAGGGTAGTGTTTCTCGTAAAATCCTCTAGCGGCAGAAAGATCGCAACACGAATTATCTCCCTTGGGGACTTTCTGCCCAATCAGAACAGTGTTACATCGACTTAGATTCAACATGACTAACACAAGCAAATGTGAGGCCACAAATATCCCCAGACATCTAGTGGGGACTTGTGTTGATGTTACACACAAGACGTTTAATGGCTAGCTTGTCCGTTGTCAACGAGGGCGATGGAGTGGCCACTGATCTGCCCCAGACATCACTGAGTTCTGTCTAGAAGAAACGTTTGCGCATCGCGCAGAGGAAGAGGTTTAGGGACTTGTTCTGCCCCAGAAATCATCGAGGCCATGCGAATGGTCAGTTTTGAAACAACTTCTCTGCCCCAGAATCATCACTAAATCTGATTGTCTCCAATCACGAGTCTGCCGCTCACATCACAGAGAGATTAGCACAGAGGTGGGGACTTGTTCTAGGAAATGACATCAGTAACACAGGGTAGTGGGACTTACTCTGAGAATCATCACACAGGGTAGTGGGGACTTACTCTGCCCTAGAATCATCACACAGGGTAGTGGGGACTTACTCTGCCCTAGAATCATAACACAGGGTAGTGGGGACTTGTTCTGCCCCAGAATCATCACAGAGAGACAAGCACAGGGTAGTGGAGACTTACTCTGCCCTAGAATCATCACACAGGGTAGTGGGGACTTGTTCTGCCCTAGAATCATCACAGAGAGACAAGCACAGGGTAGTGGGGACTTACTCTGCCCTAGAATCATCACAGAGAGACAAGCACAGGGTAGTGGGGACTTGTTCTGCCCTAGAATCATCACACAGGGTAGTGGGGACTTGTTCTGCCCCAGAATCATCACACAGGGTAGTGGAGACTTACTCTGCCCTAGAATCATCACACAGGGTAGTGGGGACTTCCTCTCCCCCTTAGAATCATCACAGAGAGACATGCACAGGGTAAGGGAACTTACTCTGCCCCAGAATCATCACAGAGAGACAAGCACAGGGTAAGGGAACTTACTCTGCCCCAGAATCATCACAGAGAGACAAGCACAGGGTAAGGGAACTTACTCTGCCCCAGAATCATCACAGAGACAAGCACAGGGTAAGGGAACTTACTCTGCCCCAGAATCATCAGAGACAAGCACAGGGAGTAAGGAGACAGAGAGACAAGCACAGGGTAGTGGGGACTTACTCTGCCCCAGAATCATCACAGAGAGACAAGCACAGGGTAGTGGGGACTTGTTCTGCCCCAGAATCATCAGAGAGAGACAAGCACAGGGTAGTGGGGACTTACTCTGCCCTAGAATCATCACACAGGGTAGTTGGGACTTGTTCTGCCCCAGAATCATCACAGAGAGACAAGCACAGGGTAGTGGGAACTTACTCTGCCCCAGAATCATCACAGAGAGACAAGCACAGGGTAAGGGAACTTACTCTGCCCCAGAATCATCACAGAGACAAGCACAGGGTAGTGGGGACTTACTCTGCCCCAGAATCATCACAGAGACAAGCACAGGGTAGGGGGACTTACTTCTGCCCCAGAATCATCACAGAGAGACAAGCACAGGGTAGTGGGGACTTATTCTGCCCCAGAATCATCACAGAGAGACAAGCACAGGGTAGTGGGGACTCACAGAGAGACAAGTACAGGGTAGTTCTGCCCCAGAATCATCACAGAGAGAGACAAGCACAGGGTAGTGGGAACTTACTCTGCCCCAGAATCCACAGAATCATCACATGGGAGACAGAGACAAGCACAGGGTAGTGGGGACTTGTTCTGCCCTAGAATCATAACAGAGACAAGCACAGGGTAGTGGGAACTTACTCTGCCCCAGAATCATCACAGAGAGACAAGCACAGGGTAGTGGGGACTTATTCTGCCCCAGAATCATCACAGAGAGACAAGCACAGGGTAGTGGGGACTTATTCTGCCCCAGAATCATCACAGAGAGACAAGCACAGGGTAGTGGGGACTTATTCTGCCCCAGAATCATCACAGAGAGACAAGCACAGGGTGTAGTGGGACTTATTCTGCCCAGAATCATCAGAGATCAAGCACAGAGTAGTGGGGACTTATTCAAGCACAGAGACAAGCACAGGGTAGTGGGGACTTATTCTGCCCCAGAATCATCACAGAGAGACAAGCACAGGGTAAGGGAACTTACTCTGCCCCAGAATCATCACAGAGACAAGCACAGGGTAGTGGGGACTTGTTCTGCCCTAGAATCATAACAGAGACAAGCTGAGGGTACTTTGAACAAACAACACCAGCAGACATCTATATATCTAAAACACAGCATTTATTGTCATAATTTGAAATATATCTAAAATATATGACATGAAAAATTAAATTCATATATTATGTACAAACAAGAAGACGTGTGAAAATGACATCCTCCATTGGCAAAAGCCAGGTAGAGTGTGCAGGTAGTTAAATGCTGCACTGTGTGGACACAGACAAGGAATGTTACTTGCTATGTGAACAATAGCTTGTTTCTCAATGAGGACAGGAATGACAAGGGAACGGCTCAGAGGGCTTGTTTCTAAGAACCGACTTCCTTTGTATTTGTTTACAAATTTTATTGCTCAAAACACTTTAACCGTTTTTTCAATAGAAATCTTTTCAAAACCCTTTGATTTTTTAAATAAAAATACAAAACGACTGAAGATGGATGAAGAGTTGGTCTGGAGATACTGTATTCATCCATACTACAGCTTCTAACATGAAACAGTCTCAAATCACATGTACTACTTGCTTTTGTTTACATGACAAAACAAATATATTTCTCTATTTTATTTTAGGTTTTTTCAAATGTGACCAACATGATTTCATCAAAAAGCGCATTTCCATGGGAGCATTCACCAAAAAAACCCAACATTTTTATCATGGAAACAATTCATGATTTGTTTTGGTCAAAAACATTATTATCAGGCTTGGCATTAAATAAGGACTTGAACAAATATTACATTTTAATTCATTCCTGGTTGGAAAGGTAAATACAAAAACTAAGAAATGTAAAATAGATGGCTTCAAGAAGATTTCTGAAATGATAAAACCTTTCATAAAAAGACCATATGTTAACCATAAAACTGTAACATGCTATTTTTTTCGATGCCGTCTCAGCCTTCCCACCATAAATTCTAAAGATCACACATATATATTTGTTTAACCACATACCTCTGCATGCACAAATGGCAAAGGAAGAATGTTGCTGAAATATTGCTTAATGACTTATTAACAAATATCACCACAATTGTTGATCACATATTAAACTATTTCACTTGATCCTCTTTCAATATAATACATAGAAACTATTTCCCCATGACCCCTTTCACAACTGACATGCACCTGAATTTGCTGCTCTTTATTTGAGCACAGGAATCTGAAATTTTGATTTTTATGACGAAATTCTACAAACGTTGTATTTTCTTATAAACACTCTATTTTTCATTGCAAATATAAATATTTTCATTATAAAAATCAAAATTTCCAATTCCCGTGATTGAAGGCACAACAAAATAACATGTTCAACAACTGACATTTAAATATATTTTAGACATGAAATATTAAAAAGTAACTCTTATCACAAGATATCATATTGCATAAGATTGTATTGATAAAATACTTTAGGTTAAAACAAATTTCTGACAATGCAATTACCAAGAATGGATAATTCAGAAATGCTCCCAGAAGATAAAATTCACTTAAAGGCACTATTTCACACCACACTTCTCTAAAATACATAATGCATTTCTCTCAATAATATCCATCAGCACTCAGGGAAGCTACCATATAATTAAAAAAAAATTAAATTATGTAATTAGTTACAATATTGAATTAAAGAATTTGCATGAATTAATGCAATGTTGCATTAAACTACTCTCGTGCCCTCTACCGTCCGAACATTATTTCAAGCGAAGGCCATAGAGCTATGTCCCTCTTTACGAATATCCTATAACTAACTTGTGATTGAGGCCAGTTCGGCAAACACAGACAACACCGTATGCGACAGGTTTCGATGTACGGAGCAATTGTTTACATTCGATATATGGCAAGTGTTCTCTGTTTGGAAGCTGTTCGTCTTGAAGTAGAGTGAAATAAGTCTTTATATACAATATTGGCCAAAATATTGTCGAAAATGTGTCACATTGTGGCTTTAAGATTCTGCATAAGATTTACAATGATTATTTACTCTTCTTACTTTCTGTCAATTTCACATTTGCTCTCAATCATGTTATCTACCATAGTCGGAAGCCATTTTAAAATCCAGCTGAAGGATCAGGGAATCAACTGAAGGCACAGTTACTAAAGACACAGTGGAATCTGTATCATAAGTTCAAATCCCAGAGTTTACCTATCGGCATCCATGGTTTGCCTGCACCAAAACCACATTCACTTCCATTACATTATGCTGTCATGCAGTGACGTAACTAGTTTACTCTGTACGTATCTACCAGGCAATCAGAAGCAGGGGCATATCTACGATTCCCAACAAAGTGCCCCTGGGACTTTTTCAAACTTGATATTTTCCAAAATCCAGAGATATTTACAACCTTTTAACATTGCATTCACTGAATAATATAAAACAAAGTTTATAAATCAGTAAAACATTGCATTCGATGAATAATGTAAAACAAAGTTTATAAATCAGTGTACTACAAGTGACCTCTACAAACCCTAACACTAGTCACAGCCAGTGGAGCAGGAACTGAGAGATTGTTAAGACCAGAGCTGCGGAGGCCAAGTATTGGCCTGTGAGAATATGTAGACGGACCCAAGTAGCAGGCACCATGCTGTCCAGGGCATGACATTAACACATACATAAACCATCTGACATTATTACAGAGAATATTGCACTAGGAATCATCCTGCTTACACAACTGCACACACACACACGTAAGCATGTGAGCAGGCACACACATACAGACATATGTTTGTCTCTCTCTCTCTCTCTATATATATATATAAACCGATAAAATGTCAAAGTATCGGACATGCATACTGAAGCACTACAAGCGATCACTGTCATTAACCAATGAAGTGTTAACATTCAACATGTTTCCACAAATGTTGCAGTAAAATCCTCAAGTGACAACATGCCTTACTGTTTGTTGCTACCATCTCCCACCCCACCATTCCTGACAACCTTGTCACAGAGAGCTGCAGGTACATTTCTGGATCCCCACAGAGGCACAATGACGTGGGGCAATTGATTATACATATGACGGCAATACCCTGTCATCATGTAGCATGAAATCGACAAAGAAAATCGACAAATGTAATGTTTAAGCCATACTTTGGAAAACAACATTTTAACGTTATGCTCTTCTCAGTGTAACGGGTCATACTACTCGAGTGTTATCCCCCAGGAATTATTGTATTGTGCATTCTGTGTAATGAAGGAAATACAAAGGATTGTGAAATGCTGCTCATGACAAAAATGCCAAATATTGAAGCAAAATACATTTTTCTTTTTAAGTCTCTTTTAAAAACTGTGAGGAGGAAGCAGCCACATACATGTCTTACTCTACTGTTGTATACTGCAAACATATCGAACCTGAACATAGAAAACATGAAATGAATATTTACAAATACTAATGTACAAATATACAATGGCACAAACTGAATGACAGGCAGCCTGTATAATACTTCAGAATGTGTGTACAAGCAAGTCTGTGTAGCACTCGTACAGACATATTCGTGGCAACCTAGGACTGGAGATATTCTGACTACCTAACTGTTGATGACAAGACATGGTACAGATAAAAACAATATAAAAATTTAAAATGTCACAAATATTAAAATGTTTTCAACATGTTGTAAGGATAATTTCTCTACACAGAGCAAAATAATTATAAAAATGTCATCTGTTAAATTACATTAAACCTTGTTTGTTTTTCTACTGACACAATCAGGTTGGCAACAAGGAGACACTGAAACAATAATAAGAGAAGGAACACTAAAATCTCATATATTGACAGGATTTCTCAGACTGCAAACTTAGGTGTTGAATCCCCAACTATAGTATACTCTAAACTTGACATACATGGCTTTACATGGCTTTGTGTGGCTTGCTTAACCTGAGGGGCACATGGCAAGACGGTGAGAAACAGAAGCAGAATGTCTACAAGTCACTGACTAGGTGTTTCCATGAGGAAAGGTAAAATCAGGTGGAGTGTTGGATATGCAGGTAGGCTGTAAATAACGGGGAAGGAGGAATCACTCACTGTGACAGTTAAAAGACTGATTAGATCTGCCAGCTGTTGAACACTAACTGAAGTAAAACACTCACTGTGACAGTTAAAAGACTGATTAGATCTGCCAGCTGTTGAACACTAACTGAAGTAAAAACACTCAGCTTCAGTCATGTTACACACTTGATGTGTGTGTTGCGAGTACGACATGATTGATGGTCCACTGTGTAACTGTGTGTATCTGTGGGAGACAATGTAAGTCAGGGGTGGAAATAACCCATTGCCCAACGTCCCAGTCCAGTGTTTTTATCTGTCGGGCAAGCAAGTTTGCATATGACGCTGTACCAGTGTCCAGCTGACTTTCCAAAGTTAAACAGTTTTGGAAGCAGAAGAGTACAAAACTGCGTTGTACACTAATAGAGACTTGAGGCGCATTTTATGTAAATTTCGTTGCTTATCGCACAATTTGGGTGTCCAACAGTTGTGCTTCAAAAAAGACAATGTCGACGATACTATAGCAATATGTAGTAAGTGTCATTTAGATGTCGTAGAGGATGAATACCACTTTCTATTAGTATGTCCTTACTACCATACAAGTAGGATGCAGCTTATTCCTGGGTATTATCATATAAATCCATCTGTATTTAAGTTGAAGCAGTTGTTATGCACAACAATAAGAATGTTATTAAAAGCCAAGCAATCTATCTGAAGAGAAACCTACCTGTCTGATTGTTATATATTGATGCATTATATTTACGTATATGTATTGTATGCGCACAAACAAACATGTATTTTTTGTACTCTCTCTCTGTTGTTTATTTAAAACATGAACAAGAAAATCGTATGATATGTGGAAAAATTATCAGGGCAAGTGATCTTACATGTTACACTGTACCAGAGTACACTAGCAATTTTAAATTTATTTCCACCCCTGTAAGTATGTGTGACAATGGAGGTGTGTCTGTGTCTGTGTCTGTGATCATTATGGACTGTGTTAACAATACAACGTACTGTATGTTTGTTTTAAAAATATGGATCGTGTTTGTTGCTCCTACTCTGGAGCCATGTGTCATGTACCAAAGTGACCATGGCACAGATCCAGGTAAACTGATTTATTCCAGCAAGAAACACTACATGAAGATACACACACAAGTGGCTGCATCTTCACTGCATGTGTTCAAAACATCATTAGAAAACATGTGACATTTTGAAATACAGCTATCCATAGTCAGCATAGTATCTTCAATCAAAGCTCTAGAACTTTGATTAATTAACATACCAAAGAAGGAAATATCATTTGACCCCTGCACAACTCTTCTTATTGCAACATCTTTGTCACCATGTATATAAGTTGAATGTCTAATTTTTGGCACAAAGGGATAAGCCTCAGACATTATGTTTCTCAGTGTGCTTTAAGGCATGTAGAAAGTTAAGTTGTCATGTCGCTCAAACGCTAAACTTCAAAAGGGAGAAAAAACACCCTCCAAATTAATCAAGTACTACAATCACTCAAACTCGAACAGTCTTCTTCCACAGGCCATTCACACTGTCATAGACACAAGCACCATTTTAATTATGAGTCTTTGTGACAGAATCTCCAAAGTGATAAGCAACAACTCCATTATTTTCATGAACATGTACATTTCTAGAAGTAAGTTACTTCAACAGTGACTACCAGTCCTGCATAGGGCCACACAGTGTGACAAGCTGTCAACTCCACTACACTGATGTCAGTATGGGGAGATGCTTACGCACACTTGTTCCACTATCCTCAAGCCACATTGTTCACTCTGTACAGTGGCCCTGATAGTGTCACACATCACATATTGTAGTCTGTCCACCACCTCCCCTGTAACTTGTAACAATGGCTCTGATTGGTTCGTCAACATTCATCTGCTTGGCTGGATCTTCATCCCTGTAATATACAACCCATAAGGCTGCTCCTTAAATTCTCATTGGCTGACACTTCTCAGTTGATCACATTGGCTTGAGGAATGAACCAGAACATCGAGATCACAGATAAAACTCGACCACCTTGGGAGGCTGATTGTACTTCTTCATTAAGCTTCAACAGGATCATTGTTATAAACAACAGGGTCTACTGATGGTCAATTGTTGCATGAAACTAACACTTCCTCAAAAGGATGCTTCAATGTAGCACAGCTTGGATCAGTATAAAGGATGTCTTGGCATGAACAATATCATCCACTGTGACCACTTCCAGGAATGTGGAATGACCTTGGGCTCCACAGGGGTCATACCGCAACACCTCATACCGCAAAACCTCATACCGCAACACCTCATACCGCAAAACCTCACCCTCTTGTTCTCACTAACATGCATCCCTTGTACATGAAACAAGTCCAGTTGACAGGAACCACACTCATACAGTCATTGTGACACATAGAACCACAAACATGTGGGCTACAGCAGCTAGGATCTCACTATATGGACAGACTTCACGTCTGTGGGGGCTGGAGGAGAGGCCGGCAAGGCCAGCAGAGTCACGTATAGTTGTAGGCTGACCCCCGGCCTTGTAGTCCAGCACGAATCACAACACTGTCCAATGATTCACTGACGGAGTTCACAGATGTAGGTACAGGGATGAGTTTCAGGAAAACGATGCCAGGATGCCTTCCGGATGCTGAAACAACAGATAGGAATGTCACTTTAACTGACAGTCTCACATTGAGGGGTGGTGTTCATCTAAAATATACATATTTCTTTTATACAGTATCCCCTGAAAGCTTACAGTATCATGTAAATATGTATGTCATATGTACCAACCTTGGCAACAAGGAGTGCAGATGCCCATTTCAACATTTCAATCTCAGACGTGAAACATAGACTCCGCCCAAAGTAGCCCCTGTGGAGATACAAACAGTAACATGTAGAGGAGCAGGTGCTAACCTGTATGAGGGAAGGAGAGGAATGACACACAGGCATGTAGGTCACTTCCCTTATGTCTTTGAAAAACAAACTACTTCATCCAAACAAACTTCATGTACACTCAGTTTGTTGGCGGTAAGTCTGTTTATTTAGTTTGTTCAGAAGAATTCCAACTATTTCCAATGATCAATAGCATAAGCACAAATACACGCGATCATCTAGGATTCAATGACATGCAAATCTTCAGTCTTCTTCTATCCATTTGGTTGCCTCTCTGGACAAGCACAGATTGCTAGGGACCTATATTATCATCCAGAATCCAACAGGTTTTCTTTTGTCCACCTCAGTGATATTGGTGGAATACTGCTAAACATATCACTAAAACATGCACACTCGCTCACTTCATTACGCCAGCTTGGCACTATTTGGTACTCACTTGACACACTTTTCGCCCTTCACGATGAATGTGAGCCCGTGTGAGGACCTGAAACCAAGAAGCAGTACAACTACACTTCAACACTCGCGTCATCAGGGCACAACACAGATGCCAACCCTAATTTAGCCCAATTAGTATTAAGGCAAAAAACTCATGCAAAATTTAGCACTTTTAGGCAATAATTAGTGTTAACTTTTCCCAAGAATGTTCACATCTAATCAAAAAATATATAGATATTCTAAGAACTTGTTACTAAAATTGTACTCACTAAATCAGTATTAAGTATTGACATACAGCTTGATACTGAATAAAATGTGGTTGAAATTTATTGTGTGTGTGTGGTATGTATGGTATTTGATAATGTAATTTAATGCATTAATTTTTAAATTTGTATATTTTTACTGCTATTGTAGTCGAGTATTTTAAGTTGTTTGTAATAACAAATACGATAAAATCGTATGGGTTGGTATCTCTGGACAGACAATGAGGGTGAGCCAATCAGGATGGAAATATCTCCTACAGAAAATAATGTTTCCTGACAAACTATTCTCACTGAACTCCAGTCAGTGTTGGTCCTAATGATAAATTTGCTCTCGAATGTTGTACTGCAACACACTTTGAAACCATATAAACCTGAAGGGTGCTTCTCACTATTTATCATCTAAAGGAGGGTGTTATCGGTGCAATAAAGCAATCCGATAAACTTGGTATCCAAATCTGATAACCATGCAAATTACGTCAATCCACGAACTACTTTCACAAAACTCCATACACACCATGCGAATCCTATAACGTTAACATGTTATTGATGACGTCGTCGCGAGTTTACATTGTTTGTTAACAAACATGGCTGCCCCCATTCTCAAAATTGGTGACAGAGGTTCTGGAGTCGTTACTGCAGTAATTGACTTTGGAAAACATGAAACGGAGTACTTCGTTCAAATTGAAGGTACGGATTATGAGGCACAACTGAAAGGTACCAACCAAGGATTTCGATCTATCGATCACAATACAGACGATGAATCAATTCCGTCAGGTATCAGAAACTGATATTGATGAGGTGATTACCCGCAATGAAAATAGAAAAAAAGCTAAGAAAAACGTGCCTGATTTTGTTGTTCTTTTTAAGACAGAAAGATCTTATTTTAAGCATGAGTTATGCTTGCACTGTATTAGCGACCAGTCACAACCATATGCCGACGTCATGAACGACCTTCACCTTGGTGTACCGCTAAGTATTCTTACGCAAATGCTTGATTCTCTTCAAATATACTCACGTACGAGTTGCTTCTTTTTTCAGAGTAATTTTAAGAATGACATTATATGATAACGAGAGATATTAACCTCGTGTGTATCCGTATCATTAATATTATATATTAGGAATAAAAATGATGTATTATGCTCGCCAAAGGCTCGCATAATACAATTTTCATTCCTAATATATGATATTAATGATACGGAAACACACTCGGTTAATAATCTCTATATATTAAGCATCTCTTGTTTCCCGGAATAACTGCATTTGAGGGTTTTTTTGCTCTCAGGTTTTACTTTTTGTAAGTAAGACCTCTTCCCAGGTTTTACTTTTTGTAAGTAAGACCTCTTCCTAGGTTTTACTTTTTGTAAGTAAGACCTCTTCCCAGGTTTTACTTTTTGTAATTAAGACCTCTTCCCAGGTTGTTTTTTTTCCTAACTCTATATGAACATCAACATTCAAATGATATATGAGTGTTTGAAATCAATTGAAAAATATCGTCCAATATCAATTTCAAAGTGCAACGTTTTCCCAAGCAGGATTAGAACCACATCTATCAGGTTAATAAGCGGATGCTCTACCTCATGGCCACCGAGCCGACGAAGACATTGGGGTTTATAGTTACTGTCATTTAAATTGATTTTACTTGCGCTTCAGTTAGGGGATAACTGTACTGTGTTTGAGGTGAGGAGGTGAAATTGGGTTTTACGTCATGCTTGAGAATATTTCACTCATATGACGACGTGCATGCGTGTGTATGTGTATGTGTGGCTGTTTGTACTAGCCCAGATTTAAGCTGGTTTTATAGTGCTAGCCCACTGAGATACCATACCACAGTGAAGCATGAATACCCCACTCAGACACATTATACTGACTCCGAGCCGACCAGTCCTTGTTGTACCCATTAAAGCCGAGCACCAGGCAGGGACCAACAAGTGCCATATTTTAACGTCTTTTGGTATGACGCGGTCGGGGATCGAACCCGCGACCTTCCGCTCTCCGGGCGGACGCTCTAACCACTACACCACAGAGGCAGTGTACTGTGTTTGACGAATTGGGGACGTTAACCAGTTGTTATATAGACGCAAATTTAGTGATATAACATTAAATTTGTGGCTGTATAACCACCGGTATACGTCCCCAATTCGACAAACACAGTATAGTTATCCCATTCTAATTCAACTCGTTTTACGCTGCTTTTTCGTGAAAGAAATTCATTATTTAAACCAGGTCAAAGTTCCTCTAGGTCAAAGGTTAATCCTATCACTCCTTGTTACATACTAAGTTGAATTAGAATTATTGTTATGTAGCTTCATTAAATGATCATCTACATTATAATTATCCATCATTGACGGTTTATATATTAGAGAAAACACTTCCCCTCGGTTTTGGTAGAGAATGTAAAACCAAGGGAGGAGGGAAATCCCTTGGGGCTAAAGCCCTCTGTATTACATTCTCTACCAAAACCTCGGGGGGTGCTTTCTCCTAAACATATAAACTGTTAAGACAGGTTTTTCTATGAGTTTGACAAATGTGATACAAATCTCACATAGAGGAAGTAAATATTAACATTTATTGTCATTCACGGACAGATAGCTGGTTGTACATTGATGATCAGCTGGAAGAAGCAAAGTTTGAGTGTATGTCTAATCTGCCCAAAACAACTCACTTTCCTCCTGATCTGCGACTGTCGATGCCCAGATAGATGACAATGTCTTCTACATTCCAGGAGTGCAGCTGATGTGTACCCTGAAGAAAACATAAGTTTATCTGACCTTTGTTAAAACAGACCCGCATACTGTGTCAGCGTCGTAACAGCATTATAATAACAAGAGGTTTTCACTCGCTTAGGAATGCCAGAAATTACAGGATCAGTCACAAAACTATTTTTGCCTTAAAAATGAATATTCTATTAAGAAAGGCAACTTACAACATGCAAGAGGGGCTCATGCTTAAAGTGCATAATAATATCATTACTCTCTTCTGTGGATCTGTGTCCATTCAAATTGTATTCTCAACTTCCTGGGGGTATTCAACTCATGCTGCCTGTTAAGGGCTGGATATTATTATCTCATCCCACCTGGTACCCCTTTGCTGAAGAGTTGTTTAAACTCCTTGCTTATAATTTGCCATTGTGAAAGGCATTTTCTTCAACTCATAAAACTTAATTTGATAAGCAAGAGAAATGTTCACCTTTGAATCTTTGAAACACACAAGTTTCCCCTGTTTTAACTGAAAGGTATACTTGGAGAACTTCTTCTTGTCGCTGAACTTGACCTCTCCAATCAAGGCTCGACATGGATCCAGCTGAAAATAGTAATCCAAAATCAGACTGTGTAGCAAAGATGCGTGAAATCAATTGTCAGTATCACATGTGCCGCTGGTGGGGAGTTTCAACATACTGACAAACTGGCCAACTCCACCATCTGCAAGGATTGGCCTCCACCAAGGATCACTGAACTGCAATTACTACTTTGCTTTCATCATAGGCAGAACAGTTGGTCCTTACTTAGACAGGTATTTAAGAAAAGGTTGTATAAATGTCATACTTTCTGACACATTGCAGTTAGCACTGTTTGCACACAAAAGTTCGGTAAATCCTGTATATATTTACTACAAAGCAAACAATTGTCTTAGAAGGTTTAAACCCGTGAAGGTCTGGGTTAGAATGTGCCTTCAGTAACCCATGCTTGTCGTAAGAGGCGACTAACGGGATCGGGTGGTCAGGCTCGCTGATTTGGTTGACATATGTCATCGTTCGCAATTGCGCAGATCAATGCTCATGCTGTTGATCACTGGATTGCCTGGTGCAGACTTGATTATTTACAGACCACCGTCACATAGCTCGAATATTGCTGAGTGCGGCATAAAACTAAACTCACTCACTCACTTAGAAGGTTAAATATTTACTATGTCTACTTGCCTACTGAATAAGAGCAAGCAAGTCTTGATGGAGTCCGTTTTCAATTCACAGAATATCAATGTATGAACTTCTACAATCAATCTTAAATATTATTTCATTATGCATGTAAACAAGAAATACACATGGCCCCAGTTCATCTTGAACATTTTGGGACATCTTGTTTAATATCCTGATTTTGGGACATCAGTTTGTGTTTAATATGTGTGATCCTGTCAGTACCAACTGAGTGTTTGTTGTGGTTGTGTTAACATTCCCGTTACAGATGTTTACCATGATGTTGTCAACTCATTTAGAAGCTGACAACACCAGTTTTATAACATTAACATTCCCGTACAGATGTTCCCGTACAGATGTTCCTGTACTCCTATACTCACTGTGGTGTAGAAGCTGACAACACCAGTTTTATAACATTAACATTCCCGTACAGATGTTCCCATACAGATGTTCCTGTACTCCTATACTCACTGTGGTGTAGAAGCTGACAACACCAGTTTTATAACATTAACATTCCCTTACAGATGTTCCCATATAGATGTTCCTGTACTCACCGCTGACTGTAGTTTCTCCAGCGTTTCTAAGTTGTTCATGCAGATTTTGGCATTTGTGCATATATCTTCCTCCAGTGATGCCCACGTTGTCACAACAGGGAGGACAAGTTCCGACAGGGGTAGGGGGCGCTCTGAAACATATCGCCGTTATAGAAGAGGTAGGATCAGCTATGGGAATCTTATAATCATCCCAAACCAGCATCTCAAACATTATCATATTTACCACACTCGTCACAAAATGTTATACAGGTTTGATGCTGGTCTGGGTTAGTGAGATGTTACACAGTCATGTACCTTTGTAAGTTTCACAATTTCAACACTGATGTTCACAGACACACCAATACTACCATAACAATAGTACATGTACTTTACAGTTTCATCTCAGTCCAGTACCTTTGAAAGTGAATATAGATTATGACAGACACTTGTCTCAAGTATTTCACTAAAACAGAAATCCCTAAGAACTGAACAAAATATGACATCATGGTAAAGTTTGGCTTTCTCAGAGATGCTAATAAAGCCAAAGATGTACTTTGAAAGAATTTCAGGATATTACACTAAAACACGTTTAACATCGTGAGGAGTCCTACCTAACGACCCTTCCAGGATGACCTCACTCATCATGAACTGGCCACTCATCTTCTTCTTGCTCTTCATGGAGGCTATAAGAGACTGGGCGTTGTCCGCGACTGGACACCTGAAACAACCCGGTCCAGTCAGGAGATAAACATCAATGTGTTGGCCAATTTCGGGTGTTATTGAGTATTTGAAGCACAGGAATTCATTTTGGAACCAGCGGCGTCAGCAGAAGGTTTCAAATGAAATATTCTGTGCTTCAATCCTAACACAAAAGTAAACCAAAAGGTCCACACACATTTTTGTGTCTGCATTCATTGACATCGAGTACGGGTACAGCAGTGAAATCTCATCAGCGGGCCATTTTGACTGTCTCCCATGGTAGCATCTGGAACTGCTCATTTGTGACATCATTCAGACGCAGCGAATTTCCGGGAATCGAATACCATTCGATCATGTTTTTCAACCAATCAGATTAAAGAACACAATGACTTTTGGTTTACAATGATGTTTACAACAACCCAGTCAGTCAGTGATGTTTAACAACAACCCAGTCAGTCAGTGATGTTTAACAACAACCCAGTCAATCAGTGATGTTTACAACAACCCAGTCAATCAGTGATGTTTACAACAACCCAGTCAGTCAGTGATGTTTAACAACAACCCAGTCAGTGATGTTTAACAACAACCCAGTCAGTGATGTTTACAACAACCCAGTCAGTCAGTGATGTTTAACAACAACCCAGTCAATCAGTGATGTTTAACAACAACCCAGTCAATCAGTGATGTTTACAACAACCCAGTCAATCAGTGATGTTTACAACAACCCAGTCAATCAGTGATGTTTAACAACAACCCAGTCAGTCAGTGATGTTTAACAACAACCCAGTCAATCAGTGATGTTTACAACAACTCCAGTCAATCAGTGATGTTTACAATAACCGAGTCAATCAGTGATGTTTAACAACAACCCAGTGAAGTCCAGTGATGATTTGTTAACAACCCAGTCAGTGATGTTTAAAGAACCACTAAACTTTGTTTTTGTTACTCTTTTAACCATTACATATGAAAGATTTGTGGTTAGTCTTATGCGGAACACCAAATTTATTCTTTAAAACTTGTGGTTAATTAATAACCGGCGATTAAAAGTGGCCAAAATTAAGCCTGCTTCCTCTCAGCCAACCTGAAACCACAGAGACAGGTTACGTAACTCTGTCGCCAGAGCACTGCAGTGACATCATATGAGGAGCGATTTTCAGTTAGTTGTATAGAAAGTGTGTAGCACGCTCATCATTTGATGATTTCTCGACATCAAAGAGCGACATGCTGAATCGTTGCTTTGTAGTCAATTGCTCCTAGGAAGTCGGTGATGGTGTCACCATGCACAGATTTCCACAGGACCCGCGGTTAAATTGCTAAATGGGTTATGTTTGTGAGTCGCGGCGGCGTTGTGGAAGCCTGAAATGATATCTTACTTGTGTTCAGATCGCTTCACGAAGTTAAAGAATCAAAACTACTTACTAGTTATAGTAAAAATATGTATATGATTGATGACCATAAAAGATTCTCCATAACACAACTTGTAACATAACGATTTCTTCCTCGAAGTGAGGTTGTGGTCGAGAAGTAACAATAATATTGTAAGTAGTATTATATTGACACCCACCTGGCTGCAGGAGAGAGAAATTATGTTATCATGCTATGTCATGCAAAATCTATTGGCCATCAATAAAATACATATTTTACTACCAGTAGAAAGTAGTTTTGATTTTTGTAACTCGGTGAAAACAAACCTAAATAGCATTTATCCACAGACTGGCGGATGTTCCCCGACAGGACGCCATTTTGAAAATCGTAAAGTCTGTTAGAATTAATGAGATTATAGTTTGTTTTCATCAAGTTAGAAAATCAAAACTACTTTCTACCGTGAAGTTAAATATGTATTGGAATCATAACCAAAAGGATTTTGCATGACACAACTTATAACATAACGATTTCTTCCACTTGCGAGGTGGGGTCGAAGTCACAATACTGCTGTGATAAATTTCTTGCTACATTCACATGGTTAATGTCCACTCACCAGTATGTAGATACTAGTCAATGTGCGATCTTTATATTTGGTCTTATAATCCTAATTAGTTTATTATCATACTTTTATGCATATTGAAACTAAATAAAAGCTGGCGATCTGCTGATACTTATAGTCAATTTATAACAGAACTGTAATATCTAGACATTTTATAGTTTGCTTAATGTGAATCATAATTCGCACACACAACCCCTAGTGTATGTTGTCTGTCTCATTACACTTCTGGTGAAAACAATGATTCTGTTGAATGCTACGACAAATGAATAAAAACAAAATGTAAATATTAAAATTAAAACAGATTAAAGTTATAGGAACAATATCAGGCCATTACCTTGTTTTGAGGAATGTATCCATCAATATCCACAAAACTGTTCCAAATGATGTGTCTTTTAACAGTTTAATATCCGAAAAAGTGATCTTTTCAGGTATTGGTGTATAGTCTCATTGGTCACCCAAGATAGCACACCTGGCAACTAATTGCATAATGTCCGCCTTTCATTAAAACAGTAATTTAGTTAGCCAATAATGGGCAATCAATCAATGTATTGCCGGTAAATCCTTTGAAAGAAGGACGTTGTTTTTACGCAGACACCGACACGGCAGAGTGTATTCAGTATAGATTAGTAAATCTACATACATAAACACTACCTTATGACAATTCCGCTGTGTAAGATAAAAGTAATTAATCAATCAGCGTGTTATCGGTTAATCCTTTGATCGATGTTTATAATGTTGAATATTTACTCCAGACACAAGAAATGCCAAATGGGAACCTTTGTCGGGTAATCTAAGTGTGTTACCACTAATTACAGTACACCTGTTATAAATTCATTAACTGACCATCAAGTGAATGATGACAAATAACATTAGGGTTTATACCACCTAACACGGGTTACAACAAGGGAGTATTAATTGCTGTATTGCATGTGAAAACTTATGGGCCGACACTGTTTTGAGAATACAAACAGATTTTTACATGACATGATTAAATATCGAGGTAAAAACACACAGAAATGGGATCAAATTGGATCAGTCATTATACAAATAGGGCCTAACGACACCAATCAATTGTGACAGAAGCGTCTATGAAAACAAGTTGTAACTTCGAACTAGGCAAAGCAGGGGAGACAAAATTAAATGCCAGTAGATTGTGAGAACATATAGCTTTCATTTTCCACAACAATTGTCCGCGATTTCAGGTTTATACAAGCCTGTAAACAAGATAATTTAACCCCTAAAATGTAGATGAATTCTGCATCGGCCCTCAAAGCTATTCCTCATATGACGTCACAGAGTCGCGCCGCTCTGATTGGTTGAAATATTGTGCACTGTTGTCAAAAAGGTCGATTTAAGTCAATTAAAGGTCGAAATGAGTAGTTTTAATGACGAGGTTTCATTTATAACGATGCCAGGTAGTGATTTATGTATTTTTACCCCATAGGGTTTATGTGACCTTTAACACCACAGTTCCAGCTACCATGTACAGCCAAGCACTGCTGCCACGGACTGTTACTCACGTTTAACGTCTCCTCTGTGTTGTTGACGTAGACTGAGACGATCATACTGTCTATCACAACAGACTGAAACAGAACACAACAAAACAACTTCAATTACCCCATCAAGTACACCCTAAATATACATCCAGTAAATTGTCACTAAATCATCGAGTCCAGATAAACTTGATCCAAGAGCTACTTCTGTTCTACAAATATCTTTACTGAAAGACATGGAAAACAGTTGGAAATTTGTTAGATATTTACTGTATTGGCCTAACAGGGTTAAAAGAACATGCATGTGTTATCCTTCAAGTCAAATAGTATTTGAGCATTGCATCCAGGGACGAGGATGCTTTGTTTCAAACAATACGTCTCTGATGTAAGCACATAGAAATTCCAACTGGGTATGTGCCAATACAGGAATCTTCTGGTGACCCCCGAATCACCATTACTGGCAACTCTAGTGATGAGGATGTAGTGGTATAAACATCTGCTGCCAGGGTAGTAATGGTGTATTGTTGTATCATTCTAATGACACGAGCTATTTCCAGACAAAGTCTATACTGACCATCCTCTGTTTCTTCAGTTTCTCTGCATTATTTCATTTTCTGCCATTGCCATTCTGTCATCTTTCTGCGTTCTTGTTCTTGGACCTGCACATACAGAAAAATTAATCTTTCAGATCAGGCCATAAGGATTGACTTCACATCCAGTTAGTACAGAAAAAGTTTTAGAATAACACATGTCAGGCTAATTGTTGACAGAGTAACAGTCTACAGACTAAAACAGCTACAAACTGTTGACAGTGTAACAGTCTACAGACTAAAACAGCTACAAACTTTTAACAGACTAACGTTTGATCAACAGCATGAGCATCGATCATAACTGGGATACAATGACATGTGTCAACCAAGTCAGCGATTCTGGCCAACAGATCCTGTTAATTAAGCCTCTTCACGACAAGCATGCATTGCGAAGACCAATTCTACCCTGGATCTTCTTGGGTCTGTTAATAGACTAACGATTAACCAATTAAAAGTTGACAGACAAACATTTGAGAAAACCTGTGTAGATTTGGATTTTTCTTAAAATTAAGTGCAAGATACGAGGGTTCTGTAGTCAGCAGTTACAATCACATGTGGACATGTCCAGTTTTAAGATGGAGTGAGTGAGTGAGTTGGGTTTCATTAAGCTTTAGCAATATTCCAGCAATATCACGCATGGGGGACACCAGAAATGGGTTTCACACATTGTGCCCATGTGGGGAATCGAACCCGGGTCTTTGGCGTGACGAGCCAACGCTTTAACCATTAGGCTACCCCACCGCCCCGTTTTAAGATGGAGGTACAGAGAATGACAGTATACTGAAGTCAGTCAAGCCTCATCAGGAGCTGGCCAGGATTGTTTGGAAATATCCAATCAATAACACAAACATCTTGTGCCAAAGTGAATTGCATACTTATACTCTGAACTATAATGATACATATCTGTCTGTTGTTTTCTGTCCACCTAACATGACATCAAACAACAACTTTCCAAATCTTCAGACACCAGTTTGACCACAAAACTGACTTTTGGTTTTTAAAGGGTGATCAATTAAGCCGTAAATGAATTTCAGCAAACCTACGATCTTGTTATAAAATTGTCCAACCAAAGGACATGAAAATGTCCTGCCCCATCCTGCTGAGCATTGAGTTGACCTCCAACACTAAACATTCTAAACATGTTCCAAGTTTCCTGACTCCGACACCAGTGGATGAAGATGTTGCCTTACCCTCAGGAGGAATTAGCCCAATTAGTATTAAGGAGCAAAAAAACTCATGCAAAATTTAGCACTTTTTAGGCAATAATTGAGTGTTAACTTTTCCCAAGAATGTTCACATCTAATCAAATAATATATGGAGAAATATTCTAAGAACTTGTTACTAAAATTGTACTCACTAAATCAGTATTAAGTATTGACATACAGCTTGATACTGAATAAAATGTGGTTGAAATTTATTGTGTGTGTGTGGTATGTATGGTATTTGATAATGTAATTTAATGCATTAATTTTTAAATTTGTATATTTTTACTGCTATTGTAGTCGAGTATTTTAAGTTGTTTGTAATAACAAATACGATAAAATCGTATGGGTTGGTATCTCTGGACAGACAATGAGGGTGAGCCAATCAGGATGGAAATATCTCCTACAGAAAATAATGTTTCCTGACAAACTATTCTCACTGAACTCCAGTCAGTGTTGGTCCTAATGATAAATTTGCTCTCGAATGTTGTACTGCAACACACTTTGAAACCATATAAACCTGAAGGGTGCTTCTCACTATTTATCATCTAAAGCGAGGGTGTTATCGGTTGCAATAAAGCAATCTGATAAACTTGGTATCAAATCTGATAACTATGCAAATTACGTCCAATCCACGAACTACTTTCACAAAACTCCATACACACCATGCGAATCCTATTTTAACATTAGCGTTAACATGTCATTGATGACGCGTCGTCATGAGTTTACATTGTTTGTTAACAAACATGGCTGCGCCATTCTCAAAATTGGTGACAGAGGTTCTGGAGTCGTTACTGCAGTAATTGACTTTGGAAAACATGAAGCGGAGTGCCGTTCAAATTGAAGGTGAATGCGGATTATGAGGCACAACTGAAAGGTACCAACCAAGGATTTCGATCTATCGATCACAATACAGGCGATGAATCAATTCCGTCAGGTATCAGAAACTGATATTGATGAGGTGATTACCCGCAATGAAAATAGAAAAAAAGCTAAGAAAAACGTGCCTGATTTTGTTGTTCTTTTTAAGACAGAAAGATCTTATTTTAAGCATGAGTTATGCTTGCACTGTATTAGCGACCAGTCACAACCATATGCCGGCGTCATGAACGACCTTCACCTTGGTGTACCGCTAAGTATTCTTATGCAAATGCTTGATTCTCTTCAAATATACTCTCGTCACGAGTTGCTTCTTTTTCAGAGTAATTTTAAGAATGACATTATATGATAACGAGAGATATTAACCTCGTGTGTATCCGTATCATTAATATTATATATTAGGAATAAAAATGATGTATTATGCTCGCCAAAGGCTCGCATAATACAATTTTCATTCCTAATATATGATATTAATGATACGGAAAGACACTCGGTTAATAATCTCTATATATTAAGCATCTCTTGTTTCCCGGAATAACTGCATTTGAGGGTTTTTGCTCTCAGGTTTTACTTTTTAAAGTAAGACCTCTTCCCAGGTTTTACTTTTTGTAAGTAAGACCTCTTCCTTTTGTAAAGGTTTTTACTTTTTGTAATTAAGACCTCTTCCCAGGTTGTTTTTTTTCCTAACTCTATATGAACATCAACATTCAAATGATATATGAGTGTTTGAAATCAATTGAAAAATATCGTCCAATATCAATTTCAAAGTGCAACGTTTTCCCAAGCAGGATTAGAACCACATCTATCAGGTTAATAAGCGGATGCTCTACCTCATGGCCACCGAGCCGACGAAGACATTGGGGTTTATAGTTACTGTCATTTAAATTGATTTTACTTGAGCTTCAGTTAGGGGATAACTGTACTGTGTTTGAGGTGAGGAGGTGAAATTGGGTTTTACGTCATGCTTGAGAATATTTCACTCATATGACGACGTGCATGCGTGTGTATGTGTATGTGTGGCTGTTTGTACTAGCCCAGATTTAAGCTGGTTTTATAGTGCTAGCCCACTGAGATACCATACCACAGTGAAGCATGAATACCCCACTCAGACACATTATACTGACTCCGAGCCGACCAGTCCTTGTTGTACCCATTAATGCCGAGCACCAGGCAGGGACCAACAAGTGCCATATTTTAACGTCTTTTGGTATGACGCGGTCGGGGATCGAACCCGCGACCTTCCGCTCTCCGGGCGGACGCTCTAACCACTACACCACAGAGGCGGTGTACTGTGTTTGACGAATTGGGGACGTTACCAGTTGTTATATAGACGCAAATTTAGTGATATAACATTAAATTTGTGGCTGTATAACCACCGGTATACGTCCCCAATTCGACAAACACAGTATAGTTATCCCATTCTAATTCAACTCGTTTTACGCTGCTTTTTCGTGAAAGAAATTCATTATTTAAACCAGGTCAAAGTTCCTCTAGGTCAAAGGTTAATCCTATCACTCCTTGTTACATACTAAGTTGAATTAGAATTATTGTTATGTAGCTTCATTAAATGATCATCTACATTATAATTATCCATCATTGGCCGGTTTATATATTAGAGAGAAACACTTCCCTCGGAGGTTTGGTAGAGAATGTAAAACCAAGGAGGAGGTAAATCCCTTGGGGCTAAAGCCCTCTGTATTACATTCTCTACCAAAACCTCGGGGGGTGCTTTCTCCTAAACATATAAACTGTTAAGACAGGTTTTTCTATGAGTTTGACAAATGTGATACAAATCTCACATAGAGGAAGTAAATATTAACATTTATTGTCATTCACGGACAGATAGCTGGTTGTACATTGATGATCTGCTGGAAGAAGCAAAGTTTGAATGTATGTCTAATCTGCCCAAAACCACTCACTTTCCTCCTGATCTGCGACTGTCGATGCCCAGATAGATGACAATGTCTTCTACATTCCAGGAGTGCAGCTGATGTGTACCCTGAAGAAACCATAAGTTTATCTGACCTTTGTTAAAACAGACCCACATACTGTGTCAGCCTCGTAACAGCATTATAATAACAAGAGGTTTTCACTCGCTTAGGAATGCCAGAAATTACAGGATCAGTCACAAAACTATTTTTGCCTTAAAAATGAATATTCTATTAAGAAAGGCAACTTACAACATGCAAGAGGGGCTCATGCTTAAAGTGCATAATAATATCATTACTCTCTTCTGTGGATCTGTGTCCATTCAAATTGTATTCTCAACTTCCTGGGGGTATTCAACTCATGCTGCCTGTTAAGGGCTGGATATTATTATCTCATCCCACCTGGTACCCCTTTGCTGAAGAGTTGTTTAAACTCCTTGCTTATAATTTGCCATTGTGAAAGGCATTTTCTTCAACTCATAAAACTTAATTTGATAAGCAAGAGAAATGTTCACCTTTGAATCTTTGAAACACACAAGTTTCCCCTGTTTTAACTGAAAGGTATACTTGGAGAACTTCTTCTTGTCGCTGAACTTGACCTCTCCAATCAAGGCTCGACATGGATCCAGCTGAAAATAGTAATCCAAAATCAGACTGTGTAGCAAAGATGCGTGAAATCAATTGTCAGTATCACATGTGCCGCTGGTGGGGAGTTTCAACATACTGACAAACTGGCCAACTCCACCATCTGCAAGGATTGGCCTCCACCAAGGATCACTGAACTGCAATTACTACTTTGCTTTCATCATAGGCAGAACAGTTGGTCCTTACTTAGACAGGTATTTAAGAAAAGGTTGTATAAATGTCATACTTTCTGACACATTGCAGTTAGCACTGTTTGCACACAAAAAAGTTCGGTAATCCCTGTATATTTACTACAAAGCAAACAATTGTCTTAGAAGGTTTAAACCCGTGAAGGTCTGGGTTAGAATGTGCCTTCAGTAACCCATGCTTGTCGTAAGAGGCGACTAACGGGATCGGGTGGTCAGGCTCGCTGATTTGGTTGACATATGTCATCGTTCGCAATTGCGCAGATCAATGCTCATGCTGTTGATCACTGGATTGTCTGGTGAAGACTTGATTATTTACAGACCACCGTCACATAGCTCGAATATTGCTGAGTGCGGCATAAAACTAAACTCACTCACTTAGAAGGTTAAATATTTACTATGTCTACTTGCCTACTGAACAAGAGCAAGCAAGTCTTGATGGAGTCCGTTTTCAATTCACAGAATATCAATGTATGAACTTCTACAATCAATCTTAAATATTATTTCATTATGCATGTAAACAAGAAATACACATGGCCCCAGTTCAGAATATCTTGAACATTTTCGGACATCAGTTGTGTTTAATATCCTGATCCTGTCAGTACCAACTGAGTGTTTGTTGTGTTGTGTTTGTGTGTTGTCAACATTTAGAAGCTGACAACACCAGTTTTACAGATGTTCTCGTACAGATGTTCCTGTACTCCTATTCTCACTGTGGTGTAGAAGCTGACAACACCAGTTTTATAACATTAACATTCCCGTACAGATGTTCCCGTACAGATGTTCCTGTACTCCTATACTCACTGTGGTGTAGAAGCTGACAACACCAGTTTTATAACATTAACATTCCCGTACAGATGTTCCCGTACAGATGTTCCTGTACTCCTATACTCACTGTGGTGTAGAAGCTGACAACACCAGTTTTATAACATTAACATTCCCGTACAGATGTTCCCATACAGATGTTCCTGTACTCCTATACTCACTGTGGTGTAAGCTGAAGCTGACAACACCAGATGTTTATAACATTCAACAAGCTGACCCCAGTTTTAAAGATGTTTCCCATACAGATGTTCTGTACTCCTATACTCACCGCTGACTGTAGTTTCTCCTGTGGTGTTTAAAGCGTTTCCTAAGTTGTTCATGCAGATTTTGGCATTTTGTGCATATATCTTCCTCCAGTGATGCCCACGTTGTCACAACAGGGAGGACAAGTTCCGACAGGGGTAGGGGGCGCTCTGAAACATATCGCTCGTTATAGAAGAGGTAGGATCAGCTATGGGAATCTTATAATCATCCCAAACCAGCATCTCAAACATTATCATATTTACCACACTCGTCACAAAATGTTATACAGGTTTGATGCTGGTCTGGGTTAGTGAGATGTTACACAGTCATGTACCTTTGTAAGTTTCACAATTTCAACACTGATGTTCACAGACACACCAATACTACCATAACAATAGTACATGTACTTTACAGTTTCATCTCAGTCCAGTACCTTTGAAAGTGAATATAGATTATGACAGACACTTGTCTCAAGTATTTCACTAAAACAGAAATCCCTAAGAACTGAACAAAATATGACATCATGGTAAAGTTTGGCTTTCTCAGAGATGCTAATAAAGCCAAAGATGTACTTTGAAAGAATTTCAGGATATTACACTAAAACACGTTTAACATCGTGAGGAGTCCTACCTAACGACCCTTCCAGGATGACCTCACTCATCATGAACTGGCCACTCATCTTCTTCTTGCTCTTCATGGAGGCTATAAGAGACTGGACGTTGTCACGACTGGACACCTGAAACAACCCGGTCAGTCAGGAGATAAACATCATGTGTTGGCCAATTTCCGGGTGTTATTGAGTATTTGAAGCACAGGAATTCATTTGGAACCAACGGCGTCAGCAGAGGTTTCAAATGAAATATTCCTGTGCTTCAATGTAAACACAAAAGTAAACCAAAAGGTCCACACACATTTTTGTGTCTGCATTCATTGACATCGAGTACGGGTACAGCAGTGAAATCTCATCAGCGGGCCATTTTGACTGTCTCCCATGGTAGCATCTGGAACTGCTCATTTGTGACATCATTCAGACGCAGCGAATTTCCGGGAATCGAATACCATTCGATCATGTTTTTCAACCAATCAGATTAAAGAACACAATGACTTTTGGTTTACAATGATGTTTACAACAACCCAGTCAGTCAGTGATGTTTAACAACAACCCAGTCAGTCAGTGATGTTTAACAACAACCCAGTCAATCAGTGATGTTTACAACAACCCAGTCAATCAGTGATGTTTACAAACAACCCAGTCAATCAGTGATGTTTAACAACATCAGTGATGTTTTACAACAACCCAGTCAGTCAGTGATGTTTACAACAACCCAGTCAATCAGTGATGTTTAACAACAACCCAGTCAATCAGTGATGTTTACAACAACCCAGTCAATCAGTGATGTTTACAACAACCCAGTCAATCAGTGATGTTTAACAACAACCCAGTCAATCAGTGATGTTTAACAACAACCCAGTCAGTCAGTGATGTTTAACAACAACCCAGTCAATCAGTGATGTTTACAACAACCCAGTCAATCAGTGATGTTTAACAACAACCCAGTCAGTCAGTGATGTTTAACAACAACCCAGTCAGTGATGTTTAAAGAACCACTAAACTTTGTTTTTTGTTACTCTTTTAACCATTACATATGAAAGATTTGTGGTTAGTCTTATGCGGAACACCAAATTTATTCTTTAAAAACTTGTGGTTAATTAATACCGAGCGATTAAAAGTGGCCAAAAAGTCGCCTGCTTCCCTCTCGCCCGCCAACGAAACCACAGACAGGTTACGTAACTCTGTCGCCAGAGCACTGCAGTGACGTCATATGAGGAACGATTTTCAGTTAGTTGTATAGAAAGTGTGTATGCAGCTCATCATTTTGATGATTTTCGACATCAACGGCGACATGCCGAATCGTTGCTTTGTCGTCAATTGCTCCTAGGGTCGGGTGATGGTGTCACCATGCACAGATTTCCACAGGACCCGCGGTTAGTGCTAAATGGGTTATGTTTGTGAGTCGCGGCGGCGTTGTGGAAGCCTGAAATGATATCTTACTTGTGTTCAGATCGCTTCCACGGAAGTTAAAGAATCAAAACTACTTACTAGTTATAGTAAAATATGTATATGATTGATGACCATAAAGATTCTCCATAACACAACTTGTAACATAGCGATTTCTTCCTCGAAGTGAGGTTGTGGTCGAGTAACAATAATATTGTAAGTAGTATTATATTGACACCCACCTGCGCTGCCACGAGAGAAATTGTTATGTTATCGGCTAATCATGCAAAATCCTATTGGCCATCAATAAAATACATATTTTACTACCGATAGAAAGTAGTTTTGATTTTATAACTTCAGTGAAAACAAAACCTAAATAGCATTTATCCACAGACTGGCGGATGTTCCCGACAGGGCCGCCATCATTTTGAAAATCGTAAAGTCTGTTAGAATTAATGAGATTATAGTTTGTTTTCATCAAGGTTAGAAAATCAAAACTACTTTCTACTAAATAGTTAAATATGTATTGGAATCATAACCAAAAGGATTTTGCATGACACAACTTATAACATAGCGATTTCTTCCGCAGGCGAGATTGGGGAAGTCGAGATCCACAATACTGCGATAAATTTCTTGCTACATTCACATGGTTAATGTCCACTCACCAGTATGTAGATACTAGTCAGTAATGCGTCTTTATATTTGGTCTTATAATCCTAATTAGTTTATTATCATACTTTTATGCATATTGAAACTAAATAAAAAGCTGACGATCTGCTGATACTTATAGTGAATTTATAACAGAACTGTAATATCTAGACATTTTATAGTTTGCCAATGTGAATCATAATTAGCACACACACCCTAGTGTATGTTGTCTGTCTCATTACACTTCACTGGCGAAAACAATGATTCTGTTGAATGCTACGACAAATGAATAAAAACAAAATGTAAATATTAAAATTAAAACAGATTAAAGTTATAGGAACAATATCAGGCCATTACCTTGTTTGAGGAATGTATCCATCAATATCCACAAAAACTGTTCCAAATGATGTGTCTTTTAACAGTTTAATATCTGAAAAAGTGATCTTTTCAGGTATTGGTGTATAGTCTCATTGGTCACCCAAGATAGCACACCTGGCAACTAATTGCATAATGTCCGCCTTTCATTAAAACAGTAATTTAGTTAGCCAATAATGGGCAATCAATCAATGTATTGCCGGTTAATCCTTTGAAAGAAGGGCGTTGTTTTACATGAACACCGATACTGACAGAGTGTATTCAGTATAGATTAGTAAATCTACATACATAAACACTACCTTATGACAATTCAGCTGTGTAAGATAAAAGTAATTAATCAATCAGCGTGTTATCGGTTAATCCTTTGATCCGATGTTTATAATGTTGAATATTTACTCCAGACACAAGAAATGCCAAATGGGAACCTTTGTGAATTAATCTAAAGTGTGTTTACCACTAATTACAGTACACCTGTTATAAATTCATTAACTGACCATCAAGTGAATGATGACAAATAACATTAGGGTTTATATCCACCTAACCACGGGTTACAACAAAGGGAGTATTAATTGCTGTATTGCATGTGAAAACTTATGGGCCGACACTGTTTTGAGAATACAAACAGATTTTTACATGACATGATTAAATATCGAGGTAAAAACACAGAAATGGGATCAAATTGGATCAGTCATTATACAAATAGGGCCCTAACGACACCAATCAATTGTGACAGAAGCGTCTATGAAAACAAGTTGTAACTTCGGAAACTAGGCAAAGCAGGAGACAAAATTAAATGCCAGTAGATTGTGAGAACATATAGCTTTCATTTTCCACAACAATTGTCCGCGATTTCAGGTTTATACAAGCCTGTAAACAAGATAATTTACCCCTAAAATGTAGATGAATTCTGCATCGGCCCTCAAAGCTATTCCTCATATGGCGTCACAGAAAGTGCGCAGCTCTGATTGGTTGAAATTTAGTTGTGGTGAGTATTGTGCACTGTTGTCAAAAAGGTCGATTTAAGTCAATTAAAGGTCGAAATGAGTAGTTTTAATGACGAGGTTTCATTTATAACGATGCCAGGTAGTGATTTATGTATTTTCACCCCCTAGGGTTTATGTGACCTTTAACACCACAGTTCCAGCTACCATGTACAGCCAAGCACTGCTGCCACGGACTGTTACTCACGTTTAGCGTCTCCTCTGTGTTGTTGACGTAGACTGAGACGATCATACTGTCTATCACAACAGACTGAAACAGAACACAACAAAACAACTTCAATTACCCCATCAAGTACACCCTAAATATACATCCAGTAAATTGTCACTAAATCATCGAGTCCAGATAAACTTGATCCAAGAGCTACTTCTGTTCTACAAATATCTTTACTGAAAGACATGGAAAACAGTTGGAAATTTGTTAGATATTTACTGTGTGGCCTAACAGGGTTAAAAAGAACATGCATGTGTTATCCTTCAAGTCAAATAGTATTTGAGCATTGCATCCAGGGACAAGGATGCTTTGTTTCAAACAATACGTCTCTGATGTAAGCACATAGAAATTCCAACTGGGTATGTGCCAATACAGGAATCTTCTGGTGACCCCGAATCACCATTACTGGCAACTCTAGTGATGAGGATGTAGTGGTATAAACATCTGCTGCCAGGGTAGTAATGGTGTATTGTTGTATCATTCTAATGACACGAGCTATTTCCAGACAAAGTCTATACTGACCATCCTCTGTTTCTTCAGTTTCTCTCGTATTTCATTTTCTGCCATTGCCATTCTGTCATCTTTCTGCCGTTCTTGTTCTTGGACCTGCACATACAGAAAAATTAATCTTTCAGATCAGGCCATAAGGATTGACTTCACATCCAGTTAGTACAGAAAAAGTTTTTAGAATAACACATGTCAGGCTAATTGTTGACAGAGTAACAGTCTACAGACTAAAACAGCTACAAACTGTTGACAGTGTAACAGTCTACAGACTAAAACAGCTACAAACTTTTAACAGACTAACGT